TTGTAAATTGCACTGTTGTGTGTATATTAAACCGTATTTGTGTTAAAAAAGAAAACTGTGTGTGTATCAATCTTGTTTGCAAATATTAAAAACTGACTACATATCGGCAATTATTTCAATACTAAATCCAAAGTACAATTTAACTACTGAATTTAAATTATCAGTTAACTCGGCTTCGGACTAGTCGAAATTCTAAAACGTAACACATTATTAAAGATAGTTGATCTAGTGTATATTTCTTTCTTTTTTTTACAGTAAAGAGTTTTGTAGACCCAGTATTTAAATTACCAGTTAACCATTTGAAATTCTAATACGTAACATCTACAACTCAATGTCATAAGAATTCTGAATTAAACTATTTTGCTGTTATATCACTGAAATGATATTTAGAAAAATAGAATAAAAAACAAACCTTTCAAACAAATCAACATGAATATTGAGCATTCAACATAAACACCATAGTTGGCCTAAGAACAATCAGGTGATAGTTTTGTTACTAAGCGACGATGTATATTGTTGAGCATTACCACAAAAAAAAAAAAAAAGGAGCGTGAAAGCGTTCTCGACAGAGTGAGAAAGGGAATAAGCCTTTTATAGTTGGTGATAGTATTAAGCATGGCAGAGTTTAGCCCTAACTAAACTAAAGCAAAAAAACATACACAAGCTACAGTGTTAATTTATCTCTTTATTGAACATAAGCCGTATTTAGTAAAGGATTAACTAATGTTAGGCCTAAAACAAGTGGTCTTATAGATTTCGGTATCTGTGATTAGAACTATTTTGTATTATTCTAGAAATCCTGTTTTTAAAGAAGCACTGTTAAAATAAAGATACTATTTTGACCGCAAATGTCTTGCAGGTCTCTGCTTGTTTCGTATATTACATTTTAACACCACAAGTCATCTAGTCCATTGTTTCTAGCAAAACAATTTTTTGCTTTACAATCATTTTTCTTATTGAAATCCGAATGAATATGTAATTTTTATTGCAATCCTCGAGTTTTGTATAATACGGATATTTACCCCAGAGTTTTTTATAGCTTTGCATACGCTTAGTGAGGGGTTCATCGACAAAGGGTGAAGTACAGATGATATTTTCGATGTGTGAAGGTTTATTGAACTGCTTTTGTCTAACTCTCTTTGCAAGAAACATTTTATATATTTCTGAAATATAGTTATCAAGGTAACCATCACAACGAAAATATTTTCTTAAGTCCGACCTAGCGGTTGTTTTACCGTTGATTGTGTTGCAGATCCTTTCATTATACCACGTTTAGTATTAAGTGAATGCTGCAAGTTGAAATGTAAAATCAACGGTTTAATACCTGGTTGTTGGTACATTTTAGTAACAAGTATGTTATTTCAACACAAACTATGGTATCAAGGAATAGTAAAGCCCTGAAAAAATCCCTAGTACGCGAAACAGTGATGTAAGTTGTTAAGGAAAGGAACAAATTCTAAGAGAGGTTTAAAGTCGTGATTCCAAATACTGATTAGTTTTTTTCTAAACATGTTTTCATTCCTCCAGTCTGCTCGGCAAAGTTTAAAAACTGGTATGTAGACTTGAAATTTGTTCTAAATCTACACATTTTCGGCTTTGCTTCGTCTATTGGCAAGTTGTTTCTGCATTGGTAGGAAATTTATTCAAATACACAGCCTGAAATCAAATTCCAAAAGGGAATTGAAAATCGACAATTAGGGCTAAGGATTCGATTTTTTTTTATTTCATCCAAACTAAATATTCATAAAACTTATACCAAGGAAAGTTTAAAATCTCAACATTTCACTTATAATTTTATTTAGGAGAAAATTTGTGGAGATACATCACAAATAATTTTTCAAAATTTATTGAGGGACATTCTCTCCAAGTGTGACCGGGAATGCCCTGGTGCGAAAAGGTTATTATAAAATGACATATAATAAAACTTATATTTTCATACCATTATTGAATTAATCTACACATCTTGTGTGTTCTGGTAACAATCATCTAATTGTAATATTGGAAAAAGTGAGGTAAGACAGGTCCCCTTCATTAAAACGACTATCCATTTATATCATCGGTTATGACATGCTGCCATAAGAGTGAATTATATGTAACTATTCTTGACATGGCCCTGTGCCTAAACACACTTGCTTACAGGTGCAAATGTGTATGATCAAAGAGCACCTTCTTATTTTTAACAACTTTCTTCAAAGAATCAAATATTTTGAATCCTTCTATCGTTGAAAAGTAGATAGTTCATGGAATCTTACTTGGTTGATTTCAGACAATGCAGAATTACAAACAGTCGAATATTTCATAAAGGAAATACAGCTCAAGATCACTGATTTTTTATAACATAATTATTTTAAGGTGATATGCTTAGGGTAAAATCCCTCCCGCGAGACCGTCTTACCCCACACCAATAATGTATATTTCCGTAATAGGCTTCGACCGCAATGTACATAATTTTTCTACACTAGTATTTACACCTTTGTCCTAGATAATAGACAATTTTCTCATGGTGCACGACCTTCCCGATCCGGTGGAAATGCATGGAATCATTCCTTTGTGCATTCTAACTCTGACAACAGGTAATATTTTCCCAAGAACCAATTAGCGATCTGTCGCCAAATTGATTAATTAGTACAATTTTTAATAAACCTTCCGTGTCCAATAAGTCATGATTCGCCTTATTTTAATATGAAACTATGCTTACAGAGTTTTAGTAAATTATCCCTATTATATATATATATATATATATAAAGGAATATTATAATACTAAATGTTATATTCATTAGTTGTTTTTATCATTACTCAGCCTGCCTGATTGTAACGGATTTATTATTATACATTTATTTTAATATCGACGTTTGTTTAGATTAAATTTATATTTATAAACACGCATAGCTTATACTGTTATATATGTATTGCGAAACTCCCGCCTATTCTCTAAAGTTGTAGAAGATTCTCGAGTGTAAGAATCAACAATATATGTGTGTACGTAAACGCCAGTGTAGCTTTGTATTGTTACGTAATCTGAATTTTCGAGAAACTCTCCACACGCCTATAAATATAACCAACGCGACGCTCCTAAAAAGGAGTATCTATTATTGGGTTGCTGTAATTGGTGTGCTATAAAGTTTGGAGGCTATAACTGTGATTGTTATAACGCTTGTCAATCGGGACACTTCAGATATTTGACCAGGAACATTTAATTTAATTTCGAACATTACAAATCATTCAACTTCAGTACTTTTACGAAAAAAATACCTACCACTATCGGTGGAAACTCGACCTGTAATCGGCGTGTGATCAGTGAGAACTTACAGGGCTAGCTTGCTCTCTGTCAAATGAATTATACCTACATCACCTCGAAATTAACTTGCTCATTGTCAACCCTCGATAAGATATCAAAGAAGTTCCAGACTAGAAAGAAGACTTTATATTGCTTGTAAGTTTGTAAAAC